TACACACAAACATATACTCCCCTCCAGCTGGCATCACCAAAGGAAGTCGCGAAGTGGAAAGTGTATTGCTATTTGTCTTTTGTCCTATTTCTCTCTCGTTTTATTTTTTCTTCTTCTTTCGATGCAGGATGGAGGGGGGGAGGGGGTGATCGTGCAGTATTCGCAATTGCACGAGATTTATCGCTCACATTAGCGAGTAATTTCCCCTTTTAGAACGCTGCAAAAATATTATGTTCCTAAATCGTATTTCATCTTTTCTTTCTTGCGCACTGTTTTATTTGTTTATCTTTGTGTGTGTGTGTGTGTGTGTGTGTGTGTGTGTGTTGTGTGTGTGTGTGTGTGTGTGTGTGTGTGTGTGTGTGTGTGTGTGTGTGTGTGTGTGTGTGTGCATGTGTGCTTGTCTGTGTGTGTGTGTGTGTGAGTGTGCTATGTGAAAAGGAAAAAAAAGGAAATATAGAGGAGAAGCAAAGATGTAGAAAGAAAAGGAAGCAATAAAAAGGGAAGGAAACCAAAAATGAAAAACAAAATAGAGAAGAACAGAAAAGAAAACCAGAGGCAAAAATAAGTACATATTTGAAATGATATAAAAAAATAGTCTATAGTAGGAAAAAATATTGTATATCTAGACAAGAATGTATATACATTTTGAAACAGACAGATTTAAAAGATCCTTTATAGATACGTGTGCATACAATTATATATATGTACACACACACACACACACACACACACACACACACACACACACACACACACACACACACACACACACACACACACACATATATATATATATATATATATATATATATATATATATATATATATATATATATATATATATATATATATATATATATATATATATATATATATATATATATATATATATATATATATATATATATATATATATATATATATATATATATATATATATATATATATATATATATATATATATATATATATATATAATCATATGCACCTCTCTTGTCACCAAAATGTCGCTCTTTTATCTCCATCCGACTCATAATTCCCCTGTTTCTCCTCCTCCTTTCCTCCATCTCCTTTCTAAAGCACACACCGAGCACAACACTCTAATATATCTGTTAATAATAAGATCATACGTTTTACTTTTACTCTCTCGTCGCATATTTTTTCATGCACACTTTCACTCCTCATCTTACTTTTCATTATCTTTCATTTTCTCTAAATTTATCACCAATTTCCTACCCCCTTAACCGTTTCATTTTCTCTTTTTTTTATTCTTTATCTTTTTTCAAAGCAAAATGAGATGATTTTCGTTCACGGCAAAGATGACATATTGAACAATTAGTGCGTGGCTTGGCAATTTCTCTCGCCCCTTGCATGGCTCGGTGTGAATTTGGGAAGGAAAATATTTACTTTATATCTTCTTTTTTTCCAGTGGGAGAGCTTGGTAAAAGTTTTGTAGCCGAGTCTGTGCATTATAGACTCCATTTTGGAAGATTTTTCTTTTCTCTTCTCTTTCTTTCTTTAAAATGAACATCTTGAATTTTTTTTTTCATGAAATAATCGCAGGAGTGAATACAAATACGTAGATATATTCTCCAATCTGATAGAATTCTAGCATAAGAGAAATGAAACTCGGCATAAAATGAACATCTTGAATTTATTTTTTTTTTCATGAAATAATCGCAGGAGTGAATAAAAATACGTAGATAGCATAAGAGAAACGAATAAAATCTTTTATCATCATTGGTCATTATTATCACTATCATTGTTGGAGTTATTGCGGTTGTTATTATCATTATTGCCTTTATCCTTACAATTATTATCCTTATCAACTTACACTTTTATTACTATTATCATAATTATCATTATTACTATCACTGTTAACATTATCATTAGTAGTAGTATTACTGTTATTATTATCAATAGTATGACTAGCATTATCATTCTATTACTATAAGCAATAGTAACAATTATGATAGTAATGATAATAACGACAATGATATTTATAATAAAGATAATAATGATAATAGCAATGATTATAACAGTAATAACAATAATGATGATAATAATACTGATAAAGGTGATACTAATATCAATGAATGATAATGATAAGATAATTATGATAATGATCATGATGATGATAATGAAAACGTCAATGATGATGATCAATAATGATAATAAGGATAATGATAATGATTGTGATGACGACAATAATAACAATGATAATAACAGTAAAGACGATAATGAGAGTAATAATATCATTGATGATAATGATGGTGATGATAGGAATTATAATAATAATGAGGCTGATAGTAATTATAAAATTAATATTGATATCAATAATTATAATGAAAATGGTGACAATAATGGCAATAACAGACAATTATAGTAATAATAATCGCAATAGGAAAAAATATTACTGTAATTGTAATTATAATAATACTGATAGTGATGATAACCTTTGATAATGATAATGATAATGATGATGAAAATAACAATTATGGTAATGATAATGATGATAATTGAGTGATATTAGTAATGATAATGATAATAATAATAATAATAATAATAATAATTGTAATAATAACAATAATAATAATGATAATGATAATAGTAATGATAACAATAATAATGATAATAATAATAAAAACAACACTGAATATAATAAGAATGATAATGATTATGATGATAATGATAATGATAATTAAATAACAATGATACTAATGATAATGATTATGGTAATAACAGTATTAATTATAATGATAATAACAGTAATTATAATGATAATATATTAGTGCTAGTACTAATAATGATGATAATGATGAAGATAATGATACTGATGATAATATCAATAACAACAATAACAATAATCATGATGATATTAATAATGATGATAATGATAATGATGAAAATGATAATGATACTCATAATGATAATAAATATAACAATAATGATAGTAATAATAATATAATAATTAAATTATTATTATAATAATGATAATAATAATGATAATAATAATAATAATAATAATAATAATAATAATAATAATAATAATAATAATAATAATAATGATAATAATAATAACAATGATAATAATGATAATAATAACAATAATAATAATAATAATAATGATAATGATAATAATAATAAATGATAATAATAATGATAACAATAATTGTATTAATGATAATAATGATAACAATAATAGTAATGATAATAATAATGATCATGATAATAGTAATAAAGATATTAATAATGATAACCTAATAATAATGGTAATAATAATGATAGTAATGAAAACAATGATGATAATGATAATGATAATATTATCGGTAATAATGATAGTAATAATGATAGCAATTAATAACAAGAAGAAGAAGAAGTAGAATAACAAGTAATGATAGTAATAATACTATGATGATAATGATAACAATAATGATAACAAAGATAAGGATAATCATACTAATGATAATGATGATAATAAGAAAAATGATGATAATGATATTAATGAAAATATGATAATAATGATATTGATGATAATCATAATGATAATGATAAAAACAATAACAATGATAATGAAGATGATAATAGTAATAATAATGATGATAGTAATAATGATAATACAAGTAATAACAATAATAGCAATCATAACAATAATAGCAATAATAACAATAATGGTAGTAATAATGATAGTAATTAATAACAAGAAGAAGGAGAAGACGTAGAAGAAGAATAAGTAATGATAGTAATAATACTAACAAAAATAATGATAATGATAATGATAACATACTAACGATAATGATAATCAAAATAAGAATGATGATAATGATAGTAATGAAAATATGATAATAATGATATTGATGATAATGGTAATGATAATGATAAAAACAATAATAATGATAATGATGATGATAATAGTAATAATAATAATAATGATAGTAATAATGCTGATAAAAGTAATAACAACAATATCAATAATAACAATAATAATCATTATGATAACAATAATAATGATAATGATAATAGTAATAATAGTAGTAGTAGCAATAGTAGGGATAATAGTGATAATGATAGTAATAGTAATAACAACAATGATAACAATAGTAATAATCATAATAATGATAATGATAAGATCAGTAATAATGATAACAATGATGATAACAATAAGGATAATGTAGATGATAATGGTTATGATATTCGTAATGATAATGATGGTAACAATGATGATAGCATTATGATAATGATAATATTGAAAATCAATATAGGTATGATATTGAAACAGTGGCAACTATGATGATGATAAAGATAACGATCTGAATTACCAGAATAACATTGACCATCAATAAAATCAAATGATAGTAATATTGATAACGATTCTTTTTCAACATGAATATTATTGATATGTATAAC